GGAATGAATATCATGGTTTCTGAAACACTCCCTAGTGGTGCGTCTCACTTTTTATTTTGCATATTCCAAAAGAAAAAAAACACCAGTACAGTTTAAGGTCAGTAGCAGGATTTAGCTAAGGTGACACCTAGCCCCCTCCAAACGGCTACAACATGCCTACCTGTCAGTCAAATCAGCTGGGCCTTTTACTGAATTATGCCTAATTATGCCAAACAAAACGGATACGTTTAATAAAATCAACCCATATTTAAAAAATTTTTATTTTTTTTTAAACGAGACAAATACTTTTTTTGTACCAAGCAAAAAAAATCTTTATCCTTGCTGTAAAATTGGACATTTCAACATGGGGCTCTATTTAGGAATATTTTGAAAAGGGCTGTTTGTATGTACATCACATAGGAGGAGGGTGAATCAAGAACAGCAAGAAGTACCCACTGTGCACCACCTGGTTTGCTGCTAAAAGAATACGCAGTATTTTTATGGGATTATGTGAGGGACTTATTTTGCAGCACTGTACTGTACCTAAGAACGCTTTGAAGTGTGAGTGCTTGGTATCGTGAACAAGTACGGTATACTTCCTCGGCCCTCGTATGCTTAAAAGAGCTGGGCTTATGCACCAGCACCAGCACAGGAACGCCATGTGGACATGGAAGTATAATCTATCCCTGCCTTTTGACTAGTGTGATTGCTCTGTGAGTGCTCAAGCACGTTACACTTCCTTGGCCTTGGCACGGATGGAAGAGGTGGGCTTCAGCAGCACAAACACAGGTACACAACATGGCCATAAAGTATAAACGATATACTTGTTGACCAAAATGACTCAAATTAAGACACAAAGTCAGTAAAGTTGCCAAGTCATGTTCTTTGTGGTGTTCCCCAATATGCAGATGCAGGATCTGCCATGCGTCCCTCTTTAATTTTTGGGATTCTGCCTTTCTTGTGAGTTAAGCACGTAAAGACATGCATGTGTTGTATTATGATGTTACTATGTACAAGAGGTTACCATGCTCAGGCCCAGGTTGGTCGGGGGAATGGGGAGGGTGAGCAATCATGCCTCTCAGCAAGGTACGGGGCTAACTGTTAAAGGTTTGTTTACATCTTAATGACTGGTTTAATGTCTCTATGATTGGGCCTTCATCAGATGAGAATGTGATTTGAAAATATAAGACTTAGCTTCCTCCAATCATAACCCCTTGACATATATCTATGTCTAGCTGCCGTGTTGTTAACTGTGTCAAAGGACAAACTATTCATCTCTGCATTTGAATTTATCCCCTAAATGCTGATCTTTTCAATTAGGATTAAAATATATTCAAATGCATATGCAATTCAAAATAAATACACTTTAAGACACAACTCATTACATGTTGTATACAAATTTTAACACATGGTGTTGCATGTTTATCCAAGCTTAGCTGTTATTTTGTCTCTGAAAGTGTGTCTACTATTGTATGCATATAAATAAAATGTAGCGATTGCTCTATTTTTTTTAATGCTATATGCAGTTCTGAATCTTTTAGCAAGTGTTTATAAGTAGGAATAAACAGGAACATATTTGTGAATTTGTGCACGTGTGGCTGTGTGTCACACAGGACTCAACCTAAAAAAGTGAGTCAAAGGCTATGCCTGTTTGTGGCTGATTGCAGAGCAGCTCACAGAGGGGAAGCTCTCTTTTGTCTTTAACAACACATTCCTCTGGAACACTGATTTGATGCGAGTCACCCTTTAACTCGTGCTCTGCTGAAAGAGAACTACAGGCCCCAAGACACAGTGAGTGTAAAACCACTAGAAAGTGACAGATAGAGCAATTTAGCATCATGAACTTCTGCAAGTGCACTCTGGTCCATTTTTGTGCCAACCTTTGTTCATCCTTGTTTGCATGAAGAGCTCTAACACTGATTCTGATTTGCAGTGAGTGTTTCTCAGGTGGATTAATCCTCACTGATTCACAAGCACCTATGGAGATTCTCTCTCAATTATCCAGCACCATTCAGATTGGATGTAGAAGGGATCAAAAATGAGAGCAGGATGTGGGCAGGAGAGAAATGAGACACTGTTGGGCATCAGACACTAAGCCTGGGTTCAAGAGCCAGAGCAGCAGCAGAGTTTAAACCCGCTGGCACTTTGAAAAGCACAAGCCCGAGGGGTAGAACAGGCCGAGCACAAATCAAGCTTTACTGCAGTAATTGAACTGAAGCACTGCACTAGGGTTTACCTCTTGTGCCCCCTCTCTCTCTCTCTCTCTCTCTCTCTTTTTCCTGCTTCAGCCTCACTTGGAAGCAGCCAGATTTGAGCCTTGCCTGCTGTCGCCTACTGGACGGAGCATAGTCTTGGGCGACCTTTTCATTGAGGAGCAGCCCTGACCCAACCGGGATACAACTTGCCGTAGGCTAGAAGAGTCCCTGACTCACACTAAGCTTTAGGAATTTCCAAAGCAGTGACATCACACGCCAAATTGAGACATTCCTCCCCTGCGAAGAGTGTTCCAGTCCTCTCCCAAGAAAAATAAAGAAGAAGCCCTCTCCACCTGTCCTCCTTTCATCCCTTTTTAAAATGTTTTTTCTGCCTAAAAATAAACATATACTGCAACTTTATGCCCTGCTGTCTGTGCATTTGTGGACAGAAACCGGTGGTGTAAGGATTGTGCCATTCAGAGTCATTAAAACGCAGGTGTTCATACACTAAAAGAGGTCAGCTAAACCCTCCGGGTTACTGAGTGTCCAAAGGGGGACATTTCTCTCTGAAGAGACATGCATCCTGCTGCTTTAAGCGAAGGATCAAGACTAACAGCCCCAAGAGCATGAGCACACATTAAAAACCCAGAGTGCTTGACTTAAAAAGATCAGACTGACAAACATGGAAACACACACGCGATATAAATGTGAAGAGACAAAATGGTTTTAATGTGTCGGGGATTCAAGATTGCCTGTTTGTGTGGAAGGAAACAAATTATCAGCACGTACAGCGCCGTGATGGATGCGCAAACTGAGAGGGGAGGGTGTGCGTACTTCGTCAATATCCCTTCTTTTTTAAATTCAAAAAGCACTGTTAACAGCGAGTGATTATTCCCCCATAACCTGCACATCTCTCAGCCAAATGAGCGTCATCCATCTCTCTCCGTTTAGCCCCTGCACACACACACACACACACACACATGCAGACACACACCCCGCACTTCACTATCCGTTCCCATCACCTGCCCAGAGATGGAGCTGTGAGAAGGAATGCAACTCGCTTTCGCTCTGCCGTTATTTGTTTGAGTGGTGTCTTCAGAAAGTCGTCTTAATAGTTCACGCACCAATATTTTTTTCTTTCTTTTTTGGAGGGTGGGTGGCGGGGGGGGGGTCTGTCTGTTGTTCACCCGCGAAGAAATTCTTCTCTTCTGGGAGAATGGAAGGTTATTCAAACGTTTGGAGGAGAGGCAAGAGACGGAGAAGAAAAGAGAGAGAGAGAAAGAGAGCGAGTGAGAAAGAAAGACGCGACTTGTACCCCCTCCCTCTCCACACTCAGTCTCGGCTCAGGCGTACGCGGCAACTCAACGCGCACGCGGGCACGTGTTGGTTATGCATGCTCGCACGTGCACGCGCGCGCAGAGGCAAATCGAGTCACATGCAGCGGTGGCGTCTGGCTTAGAGCGAAGGGAAACAGCTTGAAATGATACTCCACTTGCATTACAATGGCATTAATTCAAAGGAAGGAGTTCGGTGGGGTTGGGAAGGGTTTTTTCTTCCCATCTTATTATTATAAAATATGCACGTGCACCTGCAGCATCAGGCTGTAAGGACGGAATGTAAGCAGAGCAGAAGGGAAGAAGCCTATGGCAAATTATTGGATGATTGTCATGCTTTATTTAAATTGTTATTTCAATTTATTTGTTTCAAATGCGTGAAAATTGTTGACAGTGTAACCACACTATGAACTATAGATAGATGAATAGATATATAGATAGATATCTTATTACATACAGAGACTACAGAGGCACATAAGCCCATGACGTCCCTCATAACTAATCACGCACATGTACTACTTTAACCACGCGTGAGGAGGCAAAACACACACATTCACAAACGCACACGCACACACTCACAGAGGAAACGTTGCACTGCAGACCAGACTGACGTGACTACACTGCCAGCTCACTCTGCCTGTGCTCCGATGAAAAATAAACCTCCAGTCAAAACTGAGGGCGAAAAGAAATGAGAGTTGTCCAAAGCGTTCCAAAAATCAACAGCTGGTATGAATATAAGGCTTATGAAACAATAAATTAAAGGGTCATGGTATAAGCTGCACATAAAATAGTCATTCTTTTAGCTCTATTGCCTCCTGCTGTATGTAGTCCTTGGTCGTGATGAAAATGTCCTCTGATTTGTAGTTTAACTTGAAATACGCATATGACTACAAAAATATACGCTGGGTATCATCAGCCCAATTTTTTTTCCTCCCCTTGCAGATGCACGCAGCTCAGCGCTCCTCGCCGTTCTCAGCTCAGTCTTGAGTGGCGCGGCTGTAGCAGCAGAATATTTGGCTGTAAACAGAGACACAGTGCTGTTGTCTCGATGCGAAACGCAGGCTTTTAGGAGACGGTGAGTGCTTCGAGGGGGATTTTATTGCAGAGAGGGTCGTGTCATCATTGCAAGCTGGTGAGGGAACACCATTTTCTTAACATTTTTTGGAAGGTGTCTTTTTCTCTCGCTTGTGTGTGCGCGCTTATCCGAGCCGTGTCATCCATTCGTGTTTGATTGTTTTTATGCTTCATCGTAAGTACTCACTGTCCGTTTCATGAGTCCTTGTCCTAAGCTGTCTTGGCTCCGATGCTGTCTTTTGGTAAATGTCAATTTTTTTTTTATCCCCTTGGATATCATCACGTAGGAGTCAGGGAGCGAGACAGCGAGAGAAAGCGCGATTGGGGCAGAAAAAAAAAACTAGGGATCCCAGCTGAAAATGTAAGAGGATTTTTATTTAGCAGCCACTGTAAAACAGATTAGGGCGACAGCAGTGGAAGTTAAATTGTGCTGCATATAAAATGGGCGGGCTGCTCTTTACATTTGGTTGGTACAGCCTATTTTGAAATGCGCTTGGATAAAGTCTCCATGTACTTTATTTACAGGCGCTAATAATCAACCTAAACCTTAATTTTGAAAGAGACATTGCAGCATTAAGCTAGATTTGTTAGTTTAGGACATTTTTCTGTGTTGTTGCTGACAGACTGGGAGAGTTGAACTCACTACAGCATCACCAATGAACAGTGAGAGAGACCTGCGCATATCGTCAGCAGCCGCTTCTCCAGCCTCTAGCTAAAATTCGTCAGATCTGAGATCACAGAGGATTTTTTTTCTCATTCAGTCCGGCTAGAAAAGCTATTCTGAAAAGTTTGAGGATATAGCCAGCGGACACCGAATATAAACCCGATTCATCGGCAGTAAGTGATTTTGCTCCATTTTCCTCGCTTTTTTCATCCGACAGAACAAGGGGGAAGAGGGGAGTAACACTCGGATTTAGAGAGCGACGGTTTGTGCTGCTGGACGCCGCTAGAATCGAAGACGAGTTTTATTGGGGAGAAGGGGGAGTCTGCCGTCGAAATTGGGACCGTTTAAGGTGGGATTTTTTAATGGTCCAAAATATAGGCTTCTGACGCTTTTAACAGGTTGATTTCAGAACCATGGACAGCGTTCTGAATAAAACAGCATCAACGCACATTTGCTTAATTACTCCGCCACGCACGGACTGGATCGCCATGCATGTTTTTAGAGCAGCCTTGCAAGGGGATGCCAGTTGCATGCTAAAATCCTCTCCAGCTGATTATATGTTCATAAATCGTCGTGGGGAGAGAGAGAGGTGACATTTTCCTCTGAATAACTTAGAAAGTGTGCGGGATTTTCTCCTCCATTCGTAATCTCCATCATCCCCCTGCTTTGTCAAATCCTTTTCAACCAACGGATTTATGTTTATTTTTATTTCATTTCGAGAAGGCATTGTGTGTCCCCTCGACTCCTATCTGCTCACAGTGAACCTTGAAACATTACAAGCAAGTAATGTGGTATTGTCTTCTATAGTGGGTTTGTTTCAATGCTAGGAATTTGCGAAATACTGCTTTAGCGCTTTTCTATAAGTACAAAACGTGGACACACCGATTGTGCCATCATGAAAATGAACCATGAATCCGAGAATTGTGTTTTGCATGCGCAATAGCGCAGGCTAATTGCTCATATACTTTATGACCTGGCTGACATCATAGCTTAATGATTGATGATGAAGCGAGTAGTCTTATTTTTTAGGGGGATTTGGGGTTGATATTGCGGTATTGCGCGTTTCACATTGCAGGGTATTAGAGGAGGCTGTGTACAGGTGCTACAAGCTCACACGGGCTGTTGTGTGGTCGATGATGTGTTGCCTTGTTCGGTCTTCTTAATCATTATGCGCTACAGATGCAGCCATGCTCAGGCTTGTGCGTATTGAGCGTCAGCTATGAAAGACGTATTTACATATTTACTTTCTCATCATCGACATGCTGAGTGGATATTTCAATCCGGTCTCCCACATAGTTAGGGTGTAGAATATGTCTCTGTCAGGGTGACAGATAATTCACAATGATGATGTAAATCTTGGAGGGGGGCGCGTGTGTCAAGTGGCATGTGATGGCCCAACGCATGTGGCAGGGCCATTTGGTTTGATTCATGCCCTGTCAGTGAATCTTTGAGGGATGTTAAGGAGCAAAAACCTCCCATAAAACATCTCCAGGGGGACTAGGTCCCAACAGCTCCCACCTCTGTTGTTGTTGCTTGGGCACATCTACATGTTTGTTGACACTTGATGTGGTGACATATTGTTGGGTGTTTAAAGTAGATCTCTTGCTCATATGACTTGGTAATGATGCTCTCTTCCTCTCTCTTTGACCTCCAGCAATGAAGGGTCCTCATATTGCAACCATGTCTGGACGGGGCAGAGCGACCTTTCTGTGTGTGTGTGCTTGCTTGTTCACCACCACTAGCGTGCAGGGTGGGAAAAGGTAAGAATGAACTTTAACTTACAAATGCATATGTACCTGTGTTCTACATTGGTTGCTACCATATATATGAATACAACATATAATCTGCACATATCATGCACACTGTTGCACACAGACTATTTTTAAAGAGTTCCAAAATCCATAAATGGACTGTACATTGTGGTAGATATGCTCTCTAACTAACCAAAACAAGTCTAATTTTCATTAAACGTTCCCATCATTTCTCATGTCATTTGTATTCTGCAGCTATAGGCAGAGTTTGAAACTGCCCAATGTGGAATTATTGTTTTCTTTGCTTAAATTATTAGTTGAATGATGTCATTAGGAAAGGTGTAATTTAGTGGACTAATAGTGAACACCAAACCGCATTCGGAAAGTATGAAATACAGTTTTGCTCCAAACAAAAATGTCCCTTTTCTTGCTGAATGGTCCACTGCCAAGTAAATACGTAAAAATAAAAAAATAAAAACATGTCAGCAATTGTGTGCAACCAGTGTCCAACGTACTAGGTTGATATTGTGTCTTCTTCCTGCCTATACTTAGTATTTTTTGTAGGATTCCACATCATTACAGAGCATATTCACTGTGGTTGCAAATCGGCCATCCCCACAGGACACAAAATGTTTGTTATTGCATCAAGGTAATAAGTAGTACAAAACAGTGAGAGTAGAAAAGTAGCCGTAATAGCCACAATCCAGCTTTTTTCTGGTTTCTCTAGACTCAAATTCCAGACCTGCATGCTTTATGTGTGTGCTGCTCAAAGATATTTGGCACACATTTGCGCACATGTGTTTGTGACAGTGACTGCAGGGACATTAGGGTTCATGTACAGACACACTTCTCAATGTCATCTCGGATGTGTTGGATGTCACCTAACCAGAAGCAGACGCGCAGAGAGACAGGGAGAGAAAGAGAAAGAGTGATCGGATGCGAGATGACAGCAATAAGATCTACTGTCGTGTGACTTGCAACTGCATTAATTCCCACATGATTCAAATGCTGGGACAGGCAGGAATGTTTGGCAGAGCTCAAAACATCATCATCGGGCTGCACTAGTTGGACTTCTGTTGGTAACTTTGGCATTGAATAGTGCAGAACGTGAAAACACAGAGCAGGAGCCTAGGAGTAAAAACACAAAGCAAAAACACACACTCAATCTGCTTGAGACCATTGGATTCCTATGGAGAATCTTGGAGAAACGCTCATCTGCATGGTTGAATAATTCAGCAGAACTGTCATAGGCAGTTGACTTGAAGGCTGATGTCATGAGATGGTCCATATTTCTTCTCTCAGTGACAACCACAAACATCAGCACAGGGTCCATGTTGCAGCCTGTACAGCCTGAGCGCATGCAGAACACAGATGGGATGTGTCCTATTTTAAATCTACAATGCATCTGCGATACATCATTACTGCTGGCTGATTTGACCCAGGTTTCAGATGCACTGACTATAGCGAAAGGGAGGGTCTGATTTACTGGGTGTGAGAGGGTGTAAAAAGTACTGATTACCTTACCAAGAAACTGTCACTGCAAAACTGCAAAGCAATTATCACCCAAAGATTTACTGTATCATCCAGTACATCCCCTCCCCCCTTTTTTTGAAGTCAAATACGGAATCACATACTCACACACACACACTCAAATACAAACCTTGGGGGATTTCAACAAGACACAGTAATCAGGAAGACCTAGCACTCTTCTACAGTATGTTGCCAACGAGAGAAATTGCCTTATAATTAGATATCCAAGTGACAGGAGAACGAGAAAAGGAGAGCGAGAGACACACATTGGCAGAGCAAGTGTGAACGGCACTGTTGCTGTTCAGATGACCTGTAGATGGGGATGGTGTACAATGTTTTATGAGGAAGTGGCCCCTGGCTGATAAACATGTGTATTCTTCCACAGCACCTTTTTTTCTCTCCATTGTTCTTCTTCTCCTCGACATACAACCTCAAACCCCCATGTGTATGTTTTCCTTCAACAAAAACAGAAGACTTAAAGATAAATGTGTTCCATATTATTTTATTTTCTCCATATGAGAGAGGGTTTGTTGTCTACCGCGTTGAGGTAACAAATATAATTTGGTTATATTGAAAAAAATTGGAAAATCCATGGTGAAATGGTCTGCCTTTTCTTAATTCTTCTGTGAAATTTAAAGCACTTCATGTTCAGATGATGACAGTGGTGTATTTTTATCCCTTGTATTTCCTCTTATTTCCTATATTTTAATCAGTGGTGAACTTGAAAAAGCAAAGGGACACTGTAGCTTGTTTTTCTCTGTTTACTGGGACTAAGACAAGTGGACAACAACCCTTAGGGCGGATGGAAAAATGGTTTCTGTGTCGTGCTGTGATGTAGCAAATTGTAAATGTGTGAATAAATCCAGAGAAACAGGAATATTAAGAAGGTAGGGTTAAGGAGGTTGTGTTTTAATTTAGCCTCTGCTGATTGGCTTATTGTCTTTTTTCATAACTGGTTTCCCGGACCTGTGCAAGACAGATAAATTACTGTTTTAAATTTGAATATTTCAAAGCTGTTACCTCTGAAAATGACACTGAACAAAATTGCTCATCATAGTTTGAACAGTTTTAAAAACTGGCTCTAGTTTTCACACAGTTCTTCATTTTTTTATTGGCGAGATAGAAGACTGCTTGCAAATTAAGTGAAATTGGTGGCAGAGAGATTCGCATTAACCCTTTCATATAAATCCATGTGTGACGTGGTTGGCGCATCCCTATTTTTGAACGCAAACTGCTCAGCAGCATCAAACTCAAAGCTCCAGGATCTGCTTCAATCCCGCAGCTTTGACTGTGAGCCGCGTCTCTCTAAAACACCGCTCCCCAGTTTCACTTAACAGAATCCTCACCTTATCCCAACCTCTGCCTTTTATCTCCCCCTCCGCCATCTCCGCGATCAACATTTTTTTTTCTTCCTTGTGTTTCTTTACAGCGTTCCCCACATATGTCACTCTCCCTCCTACTTTTCCCATCCTCCCGTCGCAGGTCTCCGCTAACTAATCTTGATGACCTCTCCCTCTCCTTGGAGGTGTTCAGCTATATAGCAGAGCTTGTTTTCAAACACTTGCTGTTTATTTAGCATGCAATCAAACCCCATAGTATTGGCAGGAAAAAAGGGTGGGGATAATTGCTTTGCTGCCCACAGAACAAAACACTTTTATCTGATTATTATCAGTATATACACACATGCAAACATAAAAAGGAATAAGTATATAAGCATACATCCGCATATGTGCACACACCCTGAGCATATTGTATATGCATGCATTAATGCGTCAGGTATGCAAACACACATGCACATACACCCTCTCTGAACATTCCTGTGGCGTTCCTACATAAATGATACACAATTAGGGGCTGTACGCCTGATCACGAGTGTATTGAAATATTTATGCTCAGAGATGCTGCAAACTGGGCTCTCACAATCACTGATCGTGACTGTTTTTCGGGGTTGCTCGAAGCATTTTGTTTCATGTTCAAAAGAGCACATTCAGCAAAGCCTGTATGGTCTATAAAAGACCAGATTATGGTATAAATAATGCAGTGTGATTCTCCTATTCATTCAATCTCTGAGATTGGTACATGTTGGTGTTTGTGCATGGATAGCTTCCCTGCATACCTGGTCTTACACACTGACTAAGAAGCTAACTTCAACATCTGCTTCCGTGGAAATATACGGAATTTCCAAATCAATCAATCAATCAATCAATCAATCAATCAATCAATCATTATTTGTATAGCACTAATTCATAACAAATGATATCCCAAGACACTTTACAAAAGAGCAGGTAAAAGACCTACCTAACTCTTTGTTAACACAGGATAATTTTAGCCTCTCAGGATATTTTCCTCCCTTCTACACCTCTTTCTTATACCTATCTATTTGATATGGATATGGTAACACTGAAAAAAATGGCAAAGATGGCAAAGTGCGTCACTGTTATAGAAGATTTAACAGAGTTTTTTCTCGTCCATTTTTACACAGTGTGATTCATGATGCTTCCAGTGTTCTTAAACAGAGCCATCGTGCTAACTACAGAGCAGTGATCCCCTGTTCTTGTCTTTGATATATGATTCACATGCAGAGTTTCTTTATACTCTTTTGGCAGTTCGGACTGTGGTTTTGGGCTCTAGCTGTGACGACTTTAAATCTTCTTTTTCTTTGCTTCTTTGCCAGCGCTGATAGCATGACAGAAGAACAGAACACTACAGTGTTCACCAAGATCTTAGACAGCCTTCTGGATGGCTATGACAATCGCCTCAGGCCAGGACTCGGAGGTCAGTAAACCCAAGTCATTGCATATACTTTGTCTGGTTGAATCGTTGTTTTTTGTGTTCTGCAAATAAGGAAATGTCATCCCAAAAAACCTTTTGCAAATAGCGTACTATCCATAAGATTAAATATCATTGAGACAGAAAGCTTCAGATCAGATTGTGTGTGTGTGATAATAATAATAATAAAAAGAATAGGACACTCATTCTTCACCTGCTGCTTTTGTAGAACACTGAATAGTCACAAAGCCAGCACTTGTAATAGAACACACTGAACGTGATTTCATTGCGTGGGCTCGTCTTCACTCTATTGCCTACTGTCCATTGTTAGAGAGAGAAGAAACAAAATGGCAGAGAGATGGAGAGACAAATCTAGAAACAGAAAATGCTGAAAACAGAGAAAAGGGAAGGAAAACAAGAGAGTTTTGAATAAAAAGGAGAGAACAGCAAGAGATAATGTGAGAATCGGTGTGTGAAGGACACTGAGGATCGCACAGAGTGATGCTGTCAAACAGACAAGCGAATAAAAATCAGGGCCTGCTAGGGGTTCAACTGCAGAGAGGAAGAAATTATGGATTATGATGGGTATCATTCATAAATCATGCTGTCACATTTGGGTTTCAGAATCACGGGAAAATATATCTCCCCCACACACACACACACCTCTGCCACTGCCTCTGACTGAATCGTCACAGACCTTCTTTTTCTGTCAGTATTGAGTGAAATCAAAGTGGCATATTTTCAGTATTACAACAATGCACATATTTATGAGGAGATTGGACGAGTGTAAATGCAATAGAGCTGACCCCGAAGCCAACACCTGCAGAAATGGCTATCGACATCCAAAATGGGCATTTTTGTGGTTTATTTTTCACCAATATGTTTGCGTGTGTTTTAAAAAAAGAATGTTAACTGAATCTGAAGCCACAGCCAGGTGGGATTGTATTAACAGGTAGTTAAGGGCTAATGAATGCCGTGGATAGTCACTCACTCTGGCAATTTCCTGCTTCAACAGAGCGTGTAACTGAAGTCAAGACTGACATTTTCGTGACTAGTATTGGGCCAGTTTCGGACCACGACATGGTAAGACTCTTTTTGCCTCTTTAAATGTCACCAATTTCACCCTGTATCCCCCCCCCCCCCCTCCTTGGCCACAACTATCTCCAAGCTGTGAGATAATTATTAATTTGATGCTTCATTCCATTAACTCCTGATGTGTTAATAAACCTGTCACACGTGTGAAACGTTTTCTTTCTGCTGCACAGTTTGTAATCTTGCCCCCACGTAAATGCCGCCACTGACTCGTAAACATGGCTGCATGTGACTTTTATATGCCTGTGGGGAAAAGCTGTGAATCACAATTTCTCTTTATGGGATTAAGATTACTAATAATCATAGCTTTAAATGTTCTGTTTGTTTATCTTCTAGAAGACCCATGTATATTTCAGAGCTGTCCCCATAATCTGTTTAAACTTTGAAATTCTGAGCTAAGAAACTGTGATATTCAAGGACTGTTCAAATTTGAAAAGGCAAACCAAATCCATTGAATAAAACACCGTGATAAACTTTATACTGATATACTGATATACAGTTCCAGGTAAAGGCGCTGATACTTCACTCATGAAATGTTATCATATTGCAGCAAAAATGAGTCCTTTGATCCTTGTTTTTTGCTTGTATTTGGAAGGTCAAGGAGATTCTGTTAATGGGATTCTTGCCAAATATTTCAGTACCATGAGAACATTTGATGTAGCTGGTAATAAAAAAACTAGATCACTTCAAATTTAAAATGCAACCATCTAAATATGAATCATCACCTTGAAGATTTTTTTTTCATCCCGCTTCCATATGCTACCCTTCAAAAAAAAGGCTTTGGGCTGTTCAAACATGAACATCTGATCTTTACCCTGTGCACCGGAAACCAATTAATCTCCTCCAAATGTCTCACTGCCTCTCCTATCCCCACTTGAAGAAAAAGAAGAAAAAAAACCACTTCTGTTTTATGCATGTGAAGTGAGTGTGTGTGTGTGTGTGTGTGTGTGTGTGTGTGTGTGTGTGTGTGTGTGTTTGTGTGTGTGTGTGTGTGTGTGTGTTTGTGTGTGTGTGTGTGTTTGTGTGTGTGTGTGTGTTTGTGTGTGTGTACTCTATTTGACATAATCTCATTTAATTGCACTGGCTGACATGCAGCCCAGGACTATTTTGCTGCTGTGTTGAGGCCAGAAGGAAGAAGCTGAAGAACATGTCCTCTATCTCCAGTCTGCCCATTTTCCTAGCCACTTTTTACCTTGAAGCTTTGTTTCAGTTCATACTAATTATATGAGTTGGAAAATAAGAGGGGGGGGGGGGGGCAAAAAACTGGCCAAACAATAATTTTTACAGCCTCTCTTTACTCCGTCAGCCAGTCATGGGGAACCATTAAATTCTGCTCAGAGCGACAGTCATCAGCTGCCACAAAAAAGAAATGTCCCCCTAATTTATTGTCCAGTGCTTCCTTTTTTGAGAAATTTCGATTACAGAGAAACAACTCCCCTAAAGATGAATGCTAACAATAACCTTTTTGGCTCTTACCTAACAATGCAAGACCAAATGCCCAATGTTGAAGAATTATCCCCCATTTGTATGAAGCTTATTAAACTGAGATGACCATATTTACACAAATAACAAAATAATTTAAAGAGAGCCGTTATTACAAAATGGAAGCATACTTTTTAAAGATACCAGCCAGAAAACCACCTGCTATATAAGCCAAAGCCTTTAACATGAAGAGACAGTTACCAGCAGGGAAACTAGGCCAACACAGCCATAAGAAAGTCAAAGTGACACGATGTAGAGAGAGAGGTAGAAGTCAGAAAAGTGAAAGAAATATAATTTTTACTCAGTATCTTCCCAAACTGCATAAAGGAAGGAAACAAACGCAGGGTTTGAGTTTTTGACTTCCTCCCTTTTCCACCTGCAGGAGTACACCATTGATGTTTTCTTCAGACAAAGCTGGAAGGATGAGCGGTTAAAGTTCAAAGGCCCGATGGCCGTGCTGCGTCTCAACAACCTGATGGCCAGCAAGATCTGGACCCCCGATACCTTCTTCCACAATGGCAAGAAGTCAGTAGCCCACAACATGACCATGCCAAACAAGCTGCTGCGAATTACAGAGGAAGGCACCCTGCTGTACACCATGAGGTAGGCCAACACGCTTTACCACGACGCCAGTGCAGCAGAGGATTTTTGAATGAACCAAAGACTTCAGTGTTCAGTAGCTTGGAGAAAAAAGCAATTATATTGTGCCATTTAAATATCAGTGCAACTGCACATATGATTTATCAGGAGAAGAGAGGGTTAAGGGCACACTGAATTTATATTTTCTCAATTAAATAGAGGGTGACTGATGTAATCTTATGAACAACCAACATGAACATTTTTTTTACTGGTCCTAGTTTTCAGTGATTTTCTACATCATCTACGAAACACAAACAGTTTCCCCATAATTCACATCACTCAAACAGAGGTAAACAGTGCATTTGTTGGTGGGCACTTTCCGAAAATTACAGCAGATTCGGTGCATTAGTAGCTTTTTGCAGCACCAGAATGGAGTTTTGTTGGATTGAATGATCATTTCCATTGGTGAAAAGAACACCTGTTTGTGTGACTGATGGAGAAATGATGGAGATCTGTGGCTACTCTGGGCTTGAGCTACACAAAATTACTGGTTAATAAAATTCAGTGTTGGTTTTGGGGTTGTTTTCTCGTGGCTGAAACAAATTAACCTAAAATAACCAAATGTGGTTACTAGTTGTGGTTATGTTTCTGAGCTGCTTAAGAAACTGTTGTGTTCATTGGTTGTGGTTTTAATAGTTTTAGTGGCTTTAACTAAGCAATCAATAACTGTCAGTTAGAAATATTGTTTGTTTTGGGTGATAGCCTTCAAGCTTAATACTTTTTAACAGTTTAGATACATTGCTTGACCAATGTCTGTGGTCACTCTGAATACACACAATAATCCACATTATAGTGTGACATTTATGCCAAGGGATTTCACTATACTACTAAATTTCAGTTTTTATATATTATTACCTTTTTATGGTTATTTGGCAACCATAGTCAGCCATTTATGATCTGTGTATCACATATATTTTTAGTATGATTTGTCAGTTTTCTGTTCTAGTGTTCACCAGTAAAAATAAAACGGTTTTATCCTGGCGTGATTGATCACATCGGGGATGCTCTCTGACAGTTACAGTAGGAAGATAAGGTATACGACCAGCTGAGCTGAGCTTAAAACCACTCGTGGCCCCACGGTAGCCTTCAGCAGAGGGCGGGTAAGTAAAGGCCTTAAAAAGAGACAGCAAGAACCGTGATGCACACAGACAGAAGGATTCTAATGTGAGCTGTCTGAGTCAAGGATCGTAAAACATTTGTTTTAGCATGTTTACTAGCAGGGGGAGGGGGTTTAGAGGCGGAGCCCTGTATTGCTGTCACAGATGAGCGAGATGAGGGATGGATGGGAGATTAGTGTGTCACGGGTGGCCTGACATGCTGTTTTTCACCAAGCTGTCAGGAAATTGAAACCCACGGCTCAGGCAACTGGAGCATTTTGTGTTGGTTTGGGGTAAAAGTAGCGGCCGTTTGACTGTGTCTGGTGCGAAAAAGATTACAAAAATACGGCCGCACATGTTCCTGGTGCTTTACTGTGCTTCGATTTTCCTGAATCCTCATCCTCAATTCTCCACCAGTACTGTTATGATTCCTCCTGGCTCTGCATATGCTCTATGTTTCCTTATTTTTTTGTTGCTACTTTTTTTCTTTTCCTAGGCTTACGGTACGAGCAGAATGTCCCATGCACCTGGAAGACTTCCCAATGGACGCCCATGCTTGTCCACTGAAGTTCGGCAGCTGTAAGTGGCCTCTCTGCGCACACACACACACACACACACACACAACCTTACACACATGCTCGAAAAACACACATGAATTTACCAAACACACATATAAACACACATGTATCTGTATGACACACTTGTCACATCCTCATCCAACTGGAAGCACGACCCCTGCGCAGGCCTCTGATAGGTGATGACAGTGCGGTAACAGCTGTCCTCCCAGAGGATCTGTTCCTGCCAAGGCCCCTCTGCTCCACCCTATTCATCCCTGCAAGACCCTGGAAGACCCCTCATGAAGACCTGTGTTTATCCACAGCAGCAGTGTTTGTAATACTTCCAGAACATCCCACCAGCTGCTCACCACTGACAGCTACCCCTTCCTACCACAATTATCCCAGATAAGATGTAACAATGTAGAATGATGAAGAGAAAGAAAAGAGAGGATGGAATTGTAGGGGGAGGGGAAGAAAAAGCAAGCAAAAATACAGCAAACGGGAAACAGAAAGAGAGCATCGAAATGCTTCCCTGCCATCCTCAAGACAGCTGCACAGTGTGAGTGAGAGGACCTAGCCTCAACCCCCCCCCCCTTCAAATTGAACTCACTCCCTAAATATTTCAGTGATGAGCTCTCTTCCTTATGCTGCAGTCTGCTGAGGAGCCATCCTTTTCCTCTGCAGTGGCCAAGCCACGCTGCAGCTTTGACAGGTCGGGTGGCCGGAGGGAAGGGAAGACTGACTTGGCTCTTTTAAGGTCATGTTGTCCTGTTGGGATGTTGTTTGTTTGCTTTCTTATAAGTCCAGGGATAACATGAAGTGACAAGACATTCCAATGCATCACATGTTTACATGTTGGCGAAAAGAGGAGCAAAATATGAGGCAGGGTGATGCTTAGAGGATGAAAAAGAGATGAGATAAAACACTTGAACAAGGTGAAAGAAAAGGATAATATGCTTAGATAGCAAATGAGACAAGACAGGCAGGTTTGGGATGAGAGCAGCGAGACAAGATGCAAGAGGACAGAATGAGACGAGGTAAGGATTCAAGTGGAAGACCTCGTTTCAGATTTGTTTTTGTCTTTTCCTTCCTGCGGGCATCCCTCCCAGCTCCAAAAATACAGCCTGAGAAGGACCACGTGACAACTAGACAACCAGCAGCAAAATAATTTATAACTTTTCACTCTGTTCATCCTCGGCAGATGCCTACACTCGAGCAGAGGTGGTGTATGTGTGGACCAGAGGGGCTGCCCAGTCCGTGGTGGTGGCAGAGGATGGGTCCAGATTAAACCAGTACGATCTGATGGGACAGAGTGTGGACTCTGGTGTGGTGCAGTCCAGCACAGGTAAGCTTCAGCTGGATCATACTCTCGATGAAAGATTTTATCCTTAAATAAAATCATGTTTTCAAGATAGAATTCATCTCATAAAGACTTCAGTTAGATCACATTTACATCACACCTACATGCTTTGGCAGGTAGGTAACAGTAAAGTCCAAGATCAGGCTTGACTGTGAAATAACTTGTGCTTGAAAGGAAGTTATACACTTACATTATATTACTGTGCCTTGTATTCGTTCATTATCATAGCTCAGGCAGATCACAAAGCTTAAACCTCAACACATACACAGCCTTTTTTAATATTCCTAACTGAGAAAACTAACAATCTGAAACAGCACATTTTTTTCTCTCTACGTATGACAGCCCATGTCCCAGATTTCATAATTTCCCTACCGACCGGTACGCCCCTTTCCCATCTCCTCCTCCTCTTCCTCCATTGATACTGGCACAAATTAGTGACAGCGTTAAATGGGTGACCTGTTTGCTGTGACGTTGGCTGCAGGCAGAAAGAAATGCTTTAGACAGCTCTATCCCCCGAGCAACGCTTAGCTTTACTTGCAACAAGCCCCAAGTGACTGTATCTACCAGCCTTTATCGAATAAACAATGCTGGAACATAAATAGGTTTTATTATTTGTTTTATTTGTTGATGTCTCTGGAAATACTTGAAAATCAACATATTGTTATTGCCGGATTAAATGCAAGTGCTGTTCCTGTTCTTGCATATTCTCTCTGAATGCACTGATGAAATGGAGTATGCCTGGATACAGAGTTTGCTGACAAATTACACCAATAACTCTGCCAATAAATCTCAAATGCAATAAAAGTGAAGGCCAGAAATACAACAAACCATTTAGAGATAATAACTCTATGCTATAAGGAATGGTGCAATAGATCTTCTTGTTTATAAAGTATAAAGTTCAACTGCTCTTTTGTTCCTAAATTCTCCATGTTTTTTTTGCCCGCAGGAGAGTATGTTGTGATGACAACCCACTTCCACCTGAAGCGGAAAATTGGTTACTTTGTGATCCAGACGTATCTCCCCTGCATCATGACAGTCATCCTCTCCCAAGTGTCTTTCTGGCTCAACAGAGAGTCCGTCCCTGCCAGGACTGTGTTTGGTGAGTTATCCGCTCTCCCTCCCGTTCTAAACATCTGTGGTTCGAGAAATGAGCCCAGAAAACAGAAGGTTCCAAATCTGTTCTTGGAAAAAAAAAAATCTATTTGGCAGATATGATGACAGGACACCAGGCTTTCACCCGGAACTATAGTGCTGTTGAGCACGACTCTAAAAAACTAACTGGGCTGAAAGTACTACTTAATGGAACAAATATAAAGTACAGCTTCTAAATGTTATGCTATGTCACAAAATTACACCATGTAGTTATTTCCCCAAAAAACTGAGTTCCCCCAATGAGAGAAAAGGTTGAGTTATTTATTCAGTAACAGTATTTGAAAAATGCAATGCTTACATTTTCAAAGCCTAAATTCTGCCCAATCTATCAAAAAATAAAATAATGAGGCTGCATTTTGCTGTGTAGTAATTACTCATAATCACTTTTCAGTTGGAAATAGTTTTGAAGCTGAGTTTTTCTGTAAATGTTTTTTTTTTCTCTAAGACCACCTGCTTTTCTCTCTGAATAAAACAAAGATGACAATTTGGATGAATTAGTAGAAATCGTGACACACACAGCCTTTAATCACAATGCTGTCAATCGCCCTGGAGGGCAGCTTCATTTCTTTGCACTAAGATGTGATAATGTTTTTGCTGTCAGTATTTCTGACAGTGTCAATAACACAGCTTAACTGACTACAAGACCTTAGTGTGAGAGACGCTGCTTCAAAGGACGAAGAGAGAGTCTTATTAGGTTTGATTTGAGATTGATGACTGACGGCTTCATACCAGTCAAACAAAAGCAAAGGCTGGATGAGATTCATTGATAGAGATAAAAATCACTAATTCAAAGAAACTGTTTAACAGTTTGGGAAATGTGCGTATTTGCTCCCTTAAGGAGAGAAAACAAAGCGTAGCATAGCTTAAAGCCTGGAGGGAGCAGAGACACTCTGGTTCTGTTGTTCAACAACATCTCCCTAAATCACATGTTGTTCAGTATCCATCTCTGAACCCATCTTCTTAAGACGACCTCCTCTTGCATGCGCTGGTTATGGCTAACAATCCAACTTGCAACCTCAGATGTGAAAGATTAGTTGGATTTGATCAACGTTTTCTTCCTCTAATTTCGTATAAATAAACATGGCCGTTGCACCGTTGAACCAGGACTACAAATGTTCAATTTGAAGTCAAAATTATTTTGATACTAAAAACGTTACCCTTCGCTCTATAAATGCACACATCTGTTTATAGAAACGGAACAAAAGGATGAAATTCTGCAGCAAATACTTTGTGAACAGTGGAGTGACTTTCTGATGCTCCGCCGGTTGCCTGGCAACCTCGCAGTCTTGACAGAATGATATCAAAGTTCTGCATCAAATTCTCAACGAGGATATCAAATCAACCTGTTTTCCAAATGTCAAACTACTCCTCTGAAGAACATTAAATGTTAAATCCCGTGGTTGAGCGGTTTTATTTTCCTATCTTCTTTTCTGTCCTGTCTCTGCACCAACGAGGTGAACAGGAGCTTTAATCAGTCGTGGCTGGCTGCAGCAGAATTTCAGGCACAGGGCTCAGTGTGAACTCAGATTTACGTGCTCTGAATGTGTTTCTACGAGTGTGTGTGTTTGTGCTTGCCCTATGTGTGTATGTGTGTGTGTGTGATGAAAGTGTGAGTTTGTGTGTGCACAGATTGGCCCATGTGTGCTGTGTGCATGTGCCTCGGCATGCATATGCGAGTCTTTGTATGTGTGTGTTTTTGTGTGTGTATGTGGTGAGTATCTGTCTGTCTGTCACACTAATGTCTTACATAATAGCGCCCAAAAGGAAAGCTCTTGCTAGTCTGCAGCATGCTCGGTAGCAGCAAAGCACAGCAGCAGGCAGGATGTCCTTGAGTTACCTCAGCTTCTACTCTTTCCTATTCTTTTCTCTCTCTTTCTCTCTCTCTCTTTCTCTCTTTATAGCCTCTCTCTCTTCTGTGTCTTCTTCTCATAGATGCCACTCTCTCCCCTGGCCCGCCACTTTAAGAGCTTTCTCAAAAAAAAAAAAAAAAAAAACATTATACATGCACCAGACTTCACTGCTCTGCAGCAGATTTTCCTACAGTATTTGATGCCTTCATATGCTTATGTGCATATGTGTGTGTGTGTATGTGTGTGCCACAGCTAGCTGGCTACCTGCGGTGCTTGTCACGTGTCCAGGGGAAAATGAGGATGGCCTAGATTAGATTCAAACAAACTATCTAGGGCATGTGTGTATCCCTCATGCTATCATCGCGGGTTCTGCTTCATGAGATTACATGCATGCACACATGTGCACGCACGCACGCACGCACAGTTCAATAAACACATGTACATGCTTTTTTTTTTTTATGGAGACACAGAGCAGCAGAGCATCAAAATATACTAGGTAGGTCATCCTTATGATTAAAATGCATCATCCGAGACAGCAGATGAATGAGCCTGTTCCTCAAAGAGGTTACGGAGTCAATATCGCTGTAAATGAATCATTAAAAAGACATAGCAGACAATCAAGATCATTCAGTGCCTTCTTAATCCTTTGGCTATCATCTAAGTCAAGGATTTATGCTGTATATAAAACCATTGAACATGTGACAAGTGTTGTTAGGATGAAAGAGTACAATGAACCGTCTTCACAAAGAGCTCTTAGGATGCTTAGTGCGTCTTTATTGTAGTGAATTATACGATAAACGCAAGCTAAATCAAAAGCTACCTGGTGATATTCAGCCTATATCCAGGAATAATGTGCTTCATGTTCCTGTCAGGCAGAGGTTAATGCTGTCACCGCTTGTAATGTTAGCCGTGTAAAAGGGGGAAAATGTGTCTCAACACCCCGTGTTCCATTTGTCTTGTTTCAACATTACATTGCAGTCAGTATACAGTGATTATTTTGAAAGCCGGGCTTGTAATTGTGCCGTGAACGTTCAGTCAGTGGGATGTGATGCAGACAGATGTCAGTTTTTTTTTTTTTTTAAACAGGCAGCCGAGGGCTTGACAGGAGCAGTATCAGAACGCTGCGCAACACAAATAGCAGTTGATTTGCTGTAATTCAAATCCCCTTTTAGAAAAAAACAACTGAAATGTCACCTTTTTGCTCACAGTCAGAATGGTAATTAAAGTATTTCAAACATATTCAATGCTACATATTTAATTCCTTATAATAAGCTGAGGTTAACACAGGATGAGGTAACATGAATATTTCATGTTTTTCTGCCTTACTACTTAAACAAATATATCAATAGATTGTTTCCTCTTGAAACATGTTTAGAATAAATAAATATTTGAAGCAATTATTGATGTAGCCAGCAGAATCCTGGAGTAAATGATAAAATATGATGAATATTTTGTAGGGACATGTATTGTGACTATTAAGGAGCTTATGTGCACAGAGGTTAAATTGTCAAAGGCAGATTTCATTTAAATTCTGGTCAGCTTTCCACTCTTTGAGGGGCAGCACTTTTCCGATCTCCTACTGTATGGCGACATTTCCGTTCACCAAGGTTCACCAGTTAAACCAGTTCATCCACTGGTGCAAAACAGGCCAGGTGTGTAAATAAAATGAACGCAAGAAAGACGTGAAGAAGCCTTTTTCCACCATATAACATGGTATGAAAAAGGATGCATGTGCGGTGAAAATGTTGCACCTCAAGCATTCTTCAGACCAGGCACACAGACTGTGTGAGCCGAGATAGCTGCAGGTGAACATGGACATAAGGTGGACATGTTACACAGAATGATAAGAGTCATCAAACAATGTTTGCATTATTAGCCAATTTCACCTCCTGTCAGTATTTTGAAGTCCACATGCCATCAGTAAAATGTCAGCTAAGGAAGTTGCTGCAAATCATTTATGAACTATGAAATGTATCTTTATTTTGACATTTCAATGATCATTCATCTGTTAATTATATTTTTTTATTTTGATCTTGAATACATAAGACTTTTTAAATCTAAATGAACTAATGTGTATGGGCACTTGTTGTGCATGAACACAGATTTGATCATGAACTCGTACTGAGTTTAACCCCACATTCCACAGACGTTACAGCTCTTTCCCTAACATTCCTGGCATGCCTGACTAAAGCTGTAAGGAACAATTACCTAAAAAACAGCTTTGGCTTGAAGACAAAATGCCATTATATTAACACATGACCAACACTACCACTTATTCTTTGTTTAAAACCTGATCTCGGAGAATAATAAAAAAACAAAAAAAACAAACGGAAAAGCATTTTTATTCAGTGAGAGAGAGGAATCACTTAACCACACAAACACACTTGAGTCATTCGTCCTGCAGACACCTAGTCACAGCTTGGTTTCTCTTTGTTTTCACTTCAGAACAGAAACACCATGTATTATACGTATGATGCACGAAAAATAAACAAACAACAATTGCAACGTGCTGCCGTATCACTACAGGTGTGATCAAGTTTATGTTTCCAACACAGATGTCAAGATCTGACAGAGGAACCCGATTAACATGAACAAATGCAGCGACGAAAACACAGTTTAAATCACACTGGGTCTGCGAAGCACGGCCTGGGCACTAAATCTTTTTCCTAAAGCCTGTCCTGTAGATGAATAGGCAATTTAAAAACACAGCAGTGGGTAGAGTTATCTTATTTATCATTGTGCCGATTAAGAGGCTGATTAGTTTATAGCCAGTTTGGTGCAGTGGAAAGCTGTTGGCGATCTATTTATTTGCAGTCCGAATGAAAAACCAAAACGAAACAGGAAATGATGGCGCTGATATGGTTCTCTCTCTCCCCCTCTCTCTCTTTCTCTCTCTCTCTCTTTAAGCTGTCAGGCACACAGCAGTGATCAGGAGATTAGCTCGCTTCCTTCTCTCCTCTTTAAGAGTGATATGCTGCCTATTTATTGGTTCTCCCATGGTTCTGCTCATTAAGGAATAGCACCCTGTCTTTGTGTGGATTGGAGTTTGGTTTTGTTTGCACAAAAGTGAGCGCATGTACATGGCTCAGCGCTATAT